AAAAAAAAAAAAAAAAACAACAAAGATTGATCAATTAAGTGTAAAGTCTGAAGAACTGATACTGAGAGAAAGCAAAAAAATAACTTTCGTATCTGTTTCTATTGTACGCAGTTAGTTACAACATAAAAAGCCGTAATTACACTCTGTAAAATGATGGCAAATTTAGTTCTTCTGAAACAGATTAATATCCTGTAAACATATACACTGTTATTATCCACAAATAGCTACTAGAAAAAAAAAAGCAAAACAATGGAGACAAATGGTCACCGGTTGATATACAACAGTAGCAGCAAGAAAAAAATAGTTATAGTTCAATTGGTCAATACAACTATCAGATGCGTATCACCGACTAAAGACAACAACTGTAACCCTAATCAACTCTGCTGAACATTAGTTGAAGCGAACAGCCAGATAAATTTAGCATTTTATCCCACATTTAGTTGAACAGCTTTTTCCAACTTTTTTGTGCTATTTGTATTTAAATAACTGATCCCGAAAAAGTGAAAAAAAAAAAAGACAATGACCAATAACAACAAACTACACTAATTGTTTTTCAGCAATTATGACTTAACACTGACCTGTCTCTCAGGCCGGCAAGAAGTAATAATTGGTAAAAAAAAAAAAATTTGACCTCAACCAATGCTCAACATTATTATCTAAGTTTTTAGTTGATCACATTTTCAACAATCACTGAAACACCAATTTAACATTAGCAAAATGAAAGCAACAGTTTTTACATCACAACTGATCAAATTTTTATTTCGCTAGTTGTTTGCCTAAATTTTCTCTCTTCAGACCAGACAAAAAAACAGTTTTTAGTCTAGTGATAGTCACTAGCATATATGGTTTCAAATCTCATTGCGATTTCAACACGCACATACACACACACTGAGAAAATGTACAGCAAAAAAAAGTAGAGAGAAGTAGAAGCAAAAAAAAAACGTAACCATATTGTATCATCATTATACATCAAACAATTAGAGCATTATAAATGCTAATTAATAATGAAGTTTGTTGCTAACAGCTAATGAATACTCTGCCTCTCAAGATGAATCAAGCAAATACTTAAGCAAGCAATCAAGAAACATATGATTGTAAACCAAAAAAATGAAGAGAAAAGTATAGAAGAAAAAGAAGATACAAAAAAGAGAAAAGAAAAGAAAAAGAAGTGAAAAACAAATTCGGAAAGAAATTATTGGTTTACAAATAAAGAACGCCGAAGCAAGAAAAAATTTTTGGCAAAAATAATCTCAGATCAAATCACCGAATATAAATGGAAAAAAAAAACTGATTTATATAACATGTATTTAATGAAGAGACAAAAAAAGTTCAATTAAACACATACAGCAGTAAAACTTGCAAAAACAAAATTTTTTTAATGCTTAT